CTGGCGCCTCCCCGCCGCCCCCGCCGCCCCGCCGGCCCCTCGCCCGGCGGCGCCCGGCACCGGGGCCTCCCGCCTTCCTCAAGAGCCCCGGCTCGCCCCAGGCGTGGCTGCGAAGTGCTCGAATGAGAGCAACGGACTGGCTTTGGCTGGCGCCCTGGTCCGAGGCCGGGTCTCCTCGTGGGGTGCGTGCCCAGAGCTGACTGTTCAGTTGCTGTCAGGCTTCCAGACTCACTATGTTTATTACTTGTTAAAATACATTAAGGAAAAAAACCCCACTATTGATGTAGAATACAGTATCATAAAAAGAAAATGTTTCTGTGGATCAGCTGTTTCTCAGGCAAATGTCCCAATTAAAAACTAGAAGCGCTCAAAAGTCAAGTCAGTAAAGTCATTACAGTGAGTTACAGTCCCAAGCAGAGACTGATTTTTGAAGTAAGTAATGTGAGGGAGCTGTATTTTAATAAATTTGAGGTGCCTTTCTAAAATCTTTGCTTTTTTTCCCCCTGAAATTTCATTAAAAGTCGCCATTTTATTCAGCCACAACTTCATTTAATCACTGGGATGGCATGGGAAGTGTGTTTTATGATCCACAGAAAATTTCCTTTATACTTTTACTGGTTTCTTTCTGTACCAGAATGCAAAGCTGGATGCATGAAGATTTCTATGGAACAAATTATTTAGAAACATTCACTTTTTGAATAACTAAATTGGACCAGTTTTTAAACGGGTGCTAGCATCTAGCTTCCCGGCTACCTCCCTGTCTGGCCAGACAGACTGCTGGAGGCTTAAGCGGTTGGGCCCTGCCAGCTGCTGGCTCCCTGCTAGGAAAGCCCAGCCACATGGTTTCCACCAGCAAGTTTCAGTAAAATTCACATGATCCTGAAGAATACTGAAACCGCATCACATCAATATTTCCTGTTGGAAAACTTTTTCTTCAGAGCATTTTCAGCCATTCCTACTGATCGTATTATGGTTTAAATCCTGCGACAGTCCTCTGGCAGGTCTATGACAACCTGCCTAAAGAGCAACTCCTTGCCTTTCTCCGTAGGCTTTACTGGGAGCCTGAATCCTGCCAGCAGGCAGAGCCCAGCTCCCCAGGCAGGTGGAGTCAGCCCCTGCCAATCATAAAAGCTTTTATTGTAATAACTATTAAATGCCATTTAATCAAATAGCCTAACAATCACTTACGCTTTGCTTTTCCACCCAAAAAGCTCGGTGTGCTTCATGCAGTAAGTAAGCATCATTATTTCTTTTCACATATGGCCTTAAGCCATGTAGCACTGCAGTGAGTTTTATTACCACCTTGCCAGAGTCCCCACGTAGTGCTTCACCTACCAGGCCGCATGAAGGCAGGGAAAGGCAATCACGACAGACGTACCTGAGGAAGTAAATCCAGCAGCCACTCTGCTCAGCGGCACAAGTCTTTCAGTCAAATCCCAAGAATGGGTTAAGCTCGGCCCTCTGCTAGTGAGGCAATTCCACGACTTTGTGCCCTCTGCACTGGGGTTGATTAGAAAACTCCTAACGGATAAACAGAATCAAACCAGAAGTAATTTTTATATCAAATTACTAGTGACGAATCATATTTGAAAAACTTAAGTTTTTATCAAAATTGATGTTTAAAAATGTCTTCTGAAACTGCAGCATTGTGAAAATTTATAAAGGCTTGGAATGTAAAAATACCCAGTTCATGTTAAGTGAGTTTTGTTTCTTAGATATAAAAAATAAGTAATAAAAATGAAAAGGAAAGGCAAATGCATTTAAGCTTAGTTCTATTTTAATAAATCTAAGGTTGTTATTGTAGTAATAGTGTTGCTGAAGTGAAGACAGTTTTATCTTGAATGTGTCCCTCGATTTATAACATTAAACCTTTACTCCTACTGTATTTACTACCCACCAAATTTGATTTTATATGTAGCAGCTGAACACTGAAGCGCTGATACCTTTGTATTCAATTAAAGTAAGGAATTAGGAACACAAGCATGTTTTTCACAGTCTTAAGTTAGAGTAATAACAAGATTCTTTTTATGGTCTACTCTTCTACTAAAATTATAATGGGGGACTCTCGTGCTCTACACTGACTAGCAAGTATTCTGTGCAAATCATTTTGCTCTTAGGATCGTAACAACATTTGAAGCCATTTATTGATTCAATCCTGCCAGCCAAAGGGACTTCTACAGCACAGAAGCTATCACCTGCCTGCACTCATACCCCGAACAGGTGATGAAGGGCAGGAATATCACAGGGAGAAGCTCCCTTTGTAGTTGCTGATCCTGCAGCATCATCCACACCACCGATTCTCAGTGAAATCAGGGAAGCTATTCAGGTGCTTAAAGCAAAGGCTGTGTTTTGTTGATGACCGTATTTTGTTGCTGTAACTATTACATTAAGCTGCATGGCAGATAGGTAGCAATATTTTACACCTAGGCAAACTGAAACTGGTTGTCTTTATGGAGAAATTCTATGGCATTTCCATAGCTTTCCACTTCCAAATCAGATCTTAATAGAGAAGATTCTCTCTGCTGTAGGATAAGCCAAAACACAGCAGCATTTGTTCTGGCAACAGGACTCTTCATCACTTGATCCATGTGACTTCATCCCTAAGCCATCCCCGAGGAGTCGGTGGCAGGGAGAAGCTCTGACGTCCCCTTCCTGCCTCCTAAGCACCTTTCCAGGGAAGCCAGGAGTCTGAAGGGACCGTTGGATGAAACCAGCAGAATGCCTCCTGAAGGGACAATCATCTTTGCTGTCTCTTAGTCCCATTCTTACATTGCACTGTTAGCCCAAATCCTCCCTTGATATCAAATGCAGGAGCATCGCTGACCTCAGGAGGTGATGGCAATTAACGGCGGATGAGTATCCGCTGCTTTAGGCAGGCACGGAGACTTACGGGACTGGTAATGGCAGACTGCTTTGCTGTTGCTGGACCATGTTTTATAGCAACTCATGAAATCCCATAAGCGATTCCAGCACTGTGTAGCTGATGACATTTTAGAACATTTCTCCCTGTAATTTTTTTAAATGACTAGCAACTCCATTATTTGAATAACCAAAATACTTTCTAATGGCTGCTTGAGGAGCCTTTAATTCATACCCTGCTGTTTGGAGTTAATCCATTCAGAAATTAAAACAGTGCAGGTCACTTTGAAAAGGAGAAAGCTGCAAAAATATCCAGTTTTACACACACGAAGCATATGTGATGAGACATTTACTATAAGTTGGTGTAAAAGCGCTGTAACACACTTGACGTGACATGGTATGCCTACCATACATATTTAAGCAACATTTATCTCTGCCCTAAATCCTCTGGCAGAAATAAGTCCTGTTCAGCAGTCTATTCTTAGATTTTTGTCAGGGTTCTTTTCTCATTTTTCTTATTAGACTGACATGTTTTCATAGTCACAGGGGCCACTTTGGCTTCTACTGATAGAAAGCAAATGCTTTTGCAAGTGACTCCTGTGAACGTGGAGGGCAGTCCTGGCCCTCCGCTCCTGCGGTGGGGCAGGCAGCGCTGCCGCTCGCAGCTCACAGGCAGCGTTCAAGCAAACTCTGGGGCTCAGGGTGCCTCCCCAGGAACCTGAATATGCTGATGGCATGCTGACTGGCTTCTGAAAACTGTATTATCTTTAGAAAATAAGTAAGGGGCAGAAGTGAATCTCAGATGTAAACAAACAAAAAAAAGCAAAAGAGAGAGATGCTAAAATGTTCACATCTCTGCTTCCAGTACAGTGACCTTCACTGTGGAGCTTCTGCCTCAGAGTAGCTCATAACAACAGGCTGGCAGCTGCCAGCCTGGTTGCCTTTAAAATGTCACTGGTTTAACATCAAATCAAGAGGTATAATTGCATTTTTCCTTCCTTCTCTCCACCCCCCAAATTCCAGCCCTGATCAGGCCCAAACCAAACTGACAGCATATTTGTGTTCCTGTAAGAAGTCTGTAAAAGGTCATAAAAGCTGCAAGTTCAGACATCTGGATTGTTTGCAATACAGACGATGACTTTCCTGTTTCCCATCTGCAAGCAGTGGGCTGGCCTGCACTGCCTTGAAGTTATTCCAGGGTCCAGGTGATAGACGGAAGTCTAACACAGTGTTTGAGAAAGAACTGATTGGTCTTGTATTAGGAAATTCAGGGTTAAAACTGCTGGACTGTGCTAACTCTTTGGTTTATTCATCCTTACTCTGGACAAGTGACATTTCCACCAAAAAGCTTCATTTTACTTTCCATGAAACTGATTAAGGTAGAAAGCATGGTTCTGCATTCTGGCTAGGCACAGTTCTCACTTTATGCAGCAAATGCAGTTTCAGTTGCCTTTAGTTTCTACTTTATCTAGCTTTCTTATCTGATATTCTTTGTTCGATGATCTAACAGTATGAGACACTCATGCAAGAACATACGGAAAGAGAAGGCAACATATATTCATAATAATGCAACAATAGCTCATCTTCTAGTACGCCGTGCTTACAATAAAATCAAAAGCAGTCAGAAAATCAGATTACTGCACACTGTAAAATTTATCTGAAATTTAAGGTGTTTAGCCTGTTTTAATAAAAGACATGGTGCC